ATGTCAAAGATTTCTGATTATAAATGTTTATTCAAACCACAAACACTGGATTAAATCAAATACAGACTTATTCATTCGACACAAGAAAACACACAGCTACAGTATTTTGTCATACAGAGTAACAAACCTCAGGATATGAACACAGCAGCAGCTCTCTGCTGTGTTGGGTGCTTTTGTTCATGTGCTACAGCAAATGGTAAATGGTAAATTGACTGATTCTTATATAGCGCTTTTCTACTCTCCCGGAGTACTCAAAGCGCTCTATACAACAAGCAGACGTGCGTGGTTCTCCATGTAGTCATGCGGGTCTCCTTCAAAGGGCAGACTTGGAGGACTGTTGCAGGCTCCCATCAGGAAGATGATGATGGTGCCAAGGATCATCACAGGAGTGATCAGGAAGAGGCAGAGGCGGTCGACGGTGCGAGCGATGCCGCTCCAGTTATCTTTCTCCTGTGACGACACCAGCGAGGGCAGAGTTTTATGTTTCACCTCATTTTTTATTCAATAAAAACAATAAAGCCAGAAACCAAAGGAACTAATGAGCTTCTAGTCCTCTCATTAGATGTTGTTACCGTCTGGCCCCAGATCCAAGAATAATGAGGTCAACACAGCAGTGTTAAAAACTGCTGGTTTGGGGACTCCAGTGAACCACAGTGGAAGATTTGGAAGAGACGTGAATCTTCCCAGCAGTGGCCAGACTACCGAAGTTACTCCAAGAGCACATCAACGACTCATCTAGGATGTCTAAAGAACTGCAGGCATCACTTAAGGTCAGAGTTCATGATTCAACAATAAGAAAGGGACTGGGCAAAAATGTCATCCATGCGAGAGATCCAAGACGAAAACCACTGCTGACCAACAAAACATCTGGATGATCCCCAGACTGACCAGATGTAACGGGTTTAAGTCCAGTTACATCAGGTTTAAAACGAATACAACTTTTCAATCAAACATGGAGGTAGTGTGATGGGTTGGGGCTGCGTTGCTGCTTCAGGTCCTGGACGACTTAGTAAATGAACCGTGAATTCTGATCTGTACCAGAAAATCCTG